CCCCAAAACCCCAAAACCCCAAAACCCCAAAACCCCGCAAGGATGAAAAACAACTGAATTTATATATTTTATTACTAATGGAATAATCTTAGTGTAAAATGTACGGACTTATGGGATAGAAAGCTTTAGTTAGGAATTTGGATTATGATTCAGACATATCTTGGATTGCTTCTATTCCATTTTCGTTGGTGAAACTCATCCTCATTGCTCTAGAGTCCTTTCTGAATAGTTCGTCAAATGTCTGGTACTTTTTCGGATCCAGAACTTCGGTGTCAACTCCAGGTTCATATGGAGCCTTGATTTTCCTCATAATCAAGTCATCGAATTTGTAATCTGCACAGTAAGGGTGGCTCTTGATGTCCTCAATGGTAACCAGGCGGTTCTTGAGGTCTTTATGAAGCATCTGTCTCATCAAGTCTTTGCCATTCTCATCTTTGTAAAATGATGGAAATTCTAGTTGGCCAGTCAGGATTGTCTTGTACACTTCTAGGGGATCAGGCATGTCGTTGTCTCCACCAAACGGAAGGTCTCCTCAAAGGAACTCGTACAAACACACTCCAAGACTCCAGTAATCAGATGAGTACGAGTAGCCTTCTCCCACATACACTTCAGGAGCTGTATAACTCGGAGTTCCAATGATCGTGTACGTTCTGTCTTTGATGATCTTGGCAGCTCCAAAGTCAATCAGCTTGAGGTAACCTGTTTCATCAATCATGATATTCTCGGGCTTGAAATCTCTGTACAGAATGTTCCTTAAGTGCAGGTACTCGATGATCAACAGCAGAGAGGCAAAGTAGAACATGCCTTGAGACTTGTCAAGTATATTCAAATAGTTCAAGGCATTGAATAAGTCATCTCCTTTGACCAGTTCAGTGAGGAAGAAAATTTTATGTTCTTCATCATAAAATTTCACTAGCTTCATGATAAATGGGTGGTCAATTCTGGCTAGGATTTTCCTTTCATCTTTGATATTTTGCTCTATGTCGTACTCTTTAATCTTCGATTTAGAGACCATCTTGAGTGCATATAAAGTTTTATGGTTCTTACTCATAACTTTCCAGACACTTCCGAAATTTCCGTATCCTAGTTTATTTATTACAACAAGATCAGAGAGGCTAAGAGTCGAGTCTTGCAGCATTATTCTATACTCTAAATAGTTCCTAATGTTCGAGTCTATCACACTCAGGAATGACTTCTTGTTCAGTTCAAGTGCTTCCACTTTCTTGGTTGCAAACACCGAGGCCGACCTGACTTCGCTAAACAAGAGAGATCTCTCACCAAAATATTCATATTTTCCTAGTGTCCTGATGAACTTGGACCCTTTTTTAATTTCAACTTCGCCCTTGGCGATCATGTACAGAGAGTTTCCATTTTCTCCTTCCTGGATGATGGGTTCAGTAACAGAGTACTCTCGGATCGAGCACTGGGACAAGATTTTTAACAGTTGAGACTCAGAGAACAGCGAGAATAAGTAAATGCTTTTTATAATTTTGATCTTCTGGCTTCTATCAATTATCTCAGAAATTTCTGAATTGAAGTGCTCCTTAATGTCTTTTGAAGAAATTTCAGCGGTTATGGTGTAGTTCTCAGCAACAACATCTTCATCGAAGAGTGCGAGGTGAGTCTTATCCTTGAATATAAGTTCGTAGTCTTTAACAATTCTCCCATTTGTCTGACACTTTATTGCTCCAGAAAGAACGATTACTAAGTTATTAGATTTCTTTTTATCACTTGAGTCAAATACAACATCACCTTCTTCATAGCTCTTGATTTTAAGTAAGGTGCTAAGATTATTAAGCTCTTCATTAGTGAGTCTCTCAAGGAAATAAGCACAACTACTTAAGCCAGAGCTATCATCTTCACTGCTTTCAGGTGCTTTGTCCTCTTCATTATTTAGCATCCTCATCATAATAAGAGCTTGATCCAGAATTATTGTTTGATGAAATTCTTTTCTCTTCAAGCACATCTTCAAGGAAGAGCCTTATTATTGTACTGCTGAACTTATCTCTGCCAAATACAGTTCTGATGGTGTCTCCAGAAATATTGAAGCACTCCACATCAGTGTCGCATATGAAAGTATCGTGAAGTGAGGTCTCATTCAGCATTGTCGAGAATCCTAAAATCCTGCCCTTCTTAAATTCTTTATTAAGAGGGACTTTGGAATTATTTGATGATTGCTTGATCACTTTACCCTGAGTAATGATGTAGATAGTTTCTTTGATTCCTTTACGGATGATCACATCTCCCTTATTAAATTTCATCGGAATTATATGTTCACTTAGCTTTTGCCTAACCTCCAGTTCAATGAAAGAGAAAACTCTTAGTTCTTTTACTGCATTAGATCTAATAAAAGTTGTCTGACTTGATATCCCTTTCATTATTTCTCTGAAATTATTTCTATGGATGGTCCACAAATGTCATTCATGATCTTTGCTCTTGATTTGAGCTGTTCTTTTGCATGAATAAATCAGTGCAATCTCTCCAAAAGCGTTCCCTTCTGACACCAGGCTGACAGTCTCTCCATTGACTTTGGCTTCCAATAGTCCTTTCGTCAAGATGAACAAGTGCATGCCAGTGTCACCTTGGTCGAAGAGCACCGTGTTGGGCTCAAGCTTGAAGTAATCCATTTCTTTGAGAATGGAATCGATAGCGTTGAGAGAAATATTCTTAAGAAGGAAGTGTCGACTGAAGGCTTCTTTAAGTAAGAAAGATTCTTTCTCATCTGCATGATCTTTATCCAATGGGGATAATGCTTTTAATTCTAATACAGAAGGTTCTTCTGTAGTAAGGACCCTCTTTCTCTCTTCTTTGACTTCTTCTTTACTGCTTCTCACACTACGCCTATATATTAAATCCTCGGGTTTACTGTTCATTTTCTGCTTGATTGGCTTCTTCTACTTCTATAAAATATCATAAATATTGAACTTGATGGCTACATTACTTTTATCATCCGGTTGCATTAAGCCAGTGTGTTGCTGAGGCCTCCGGGCGTTAGCATCTTTTTCTTTATATTTATTTGGATTCTTCTTTAGTGATGTTGTTGTTGCCTGCAGTATTGGTATTACCAATCCTTTTAAGATGCTTATTTTTAGTCTTACGGGCACCCTTAGCCTCTTCTGTAGAATGAGTAGTGGCTCTGTACGTCCTACATGATTGACAACTGCTTCCCATAGTGAGATTTATTTGAGTGAAATATTGATCAATAAATTTATAAGAATAAGGGGTTTTGGGGTTTTGGGGTTTTGGGGTTTTGGGGG